GGTTAACTTGGGGAGTACTAAAGCCTTTGATAGGACGCAGATAAATAGTAAATTATTGCATTGCATTTTGTTATTGTAAAAACGGTGCTTGTGATTTAAGTTTTACCATATTTTAGTTCCTCCCAGGAAAAAGAGTTGGGCTTAGAGGTCACAAAAGAAAAGGCAAACATAGCACCAGTTTCCTGAAATGAAATACAGAAATTACTCCCATGAAGTTTTTTTCCTGTCATAATGTTGTTTTTTTTCTCTCTGGGATTGGAAAAAATAATGAATAGATGTTGTGTGTAAAACATTTTAACATTTTACGTGTATTGTTTATACAAATCTAATTGGAAAAGTCTGTGTGGGCAACATTTTAAGATTCCATGGATAATCTGCTTAATTATGTCTAGAGGTAAATACTTTTTAAGTTAACAATCTTTATTACAATATAATCAGTGGTTCCGAAGGTCTCCAGAGAATGAGCTTTCTGAATAATTGTAACATTGATTGGGATTACTTCCTTGAATGTTTTTTCTCTTAATTTGAACAGAATTAGGGAAATCAGGGTGTTTTTGGAGGGGGGTACTGGGGGTCGAACTCAGGACCTTGCAGTTGGCAGGCAGGTGTGGCGCCATTGAGCTATATTCTTGGCAGGAAATAAAATTTAAATCAAATTGCATCAACCAGGAACTCTTAGTATAAAATAATGAAGTATGAAATTTATTAAATTGGGTATTATATGATTGCAGCTTCTGTAGGAATGCCTATACTTTGGCATGATAGATGGAAACATTTGTCTAGGGCCTAAGTCATTTAAAATAAAAATTTGGAATAAATCTAATTCTTGCTAAAGACAACATCGAGTTAAAATAACCTAAGAAGTATTACTAATAAAGGTCAATAATGGAATATTTTAATGTGGTTAAATGTAACAAGTCAGTGGAACACATGGGAGGATGTGAAAGTTTGTTACAGGATAAACGGTAGAAGTAGAATTTAATGACAACACTGCTGTATAAATAGGTATTGTTCTTTATGTTTAGAATACCTCCCTCCCAGCTGGAAAGTGCTGAAAAGTTTTAGTAGGTTTCACACACGGTTTGAGTGACAACTACCTTTCTTTTGTCAAATAATGTTGGTAAGTCCTCGAGCTAATATTAAGAAACACAAGGAAATTTTCTTATAGACGTATTTAACCACTGTGGAAAAAGAACAAAAAAGAAAAAGGGGAGGTGAGGAGAGGGCAAACCAGTCTGCTAAAATGTGGAAGATATGCTAGAACACTAACCTTACTTGTAAAAAGATCCTTTTGGTTAAAATATTTTAAAGTTCAAAACACAGAGAAAGCTTTTCAAATTGCACATTTGGATCACGTGGTTGCCACCACCTGAATGTTAATAAAGGGTTTTGACAGTGTGTGGAATCTGAAAGTTTATGTGAGTAATATTTGCATTGTGAAATATATTGACCATTGAACTTTATATAGTATTGTTACCTTTTAATGGTGTTTGATGTTAGTATGTTATGGTTGGTGAAGAGTTCAGAAATAAATGTCTGCTGTGAATAACAGTGTACAGATTTTGCCAAACCATGAAATCAAACAAAATAAAGGAAGGAATAATACATTTTATTAGCATGAATAACAAATATTGAGAAATTAAATCTGAATGTAGCATATTTGAGACACATTGCTAATTAGCCCAGCATTGGAAACATGGAGTTGATGGCTTGGCTACTTGACAGTGGGATGACAAATGGCACAATAAGAGTGACATAAGACTTAGAGTGAGGTCTTTAACACACACTTCCTGTCTGCTCTGGGTTGAGGGCGTTCACTCTTTGGTGTTTACTGCTTAGTTCTGGCAGTACCAAGGGTTATGAGAATGTAAGGAATTAGCAAGCAGCCTGAGCTATGGAATCAGAGAGTTCTACTTTCAAATCTTGCCCCTGCCAATTGCCAGCTGTGTGACTGTGGGCATGTCTTTTCAGCATTACAGACTTTAGTTTCTAATCTGTAAAATGGGGTCAAAATACCTGCATTACAGAGTTCCTAGAAAATTATATGAGATGCTTAGTACAGTGCCTGGCACATAGTAAGTGCTCAATAAATTGCTGCTATTATTATTATTAAAACACAAATAAACATTGTATAAATAGAAGGTAATAGTTTATTCCTGTCTTGATGAAATGTTAATATTTAATTTATTAAATTATGCATGATGGTTTTTAGAGAGAAGGAATAAGAAATAAATGTTACTATTTTTCTTTGTTGTTGGTGAAGGATACCTGAAACAAAAATTTCTTTGTTGTTAAATTACTCCTTGGCCTGAAGTGATCATTCATATTTTATTTATGATGTGGTTATATATCATGTGCATGATATTTATATGGTGATTAGAGGCAATGACTTTTAATATGAATGCACTCTTACTATCTAGAAAATAATCCATCCACAAATATGATTCCTCATAAGTGGCATCTGAAATTCTTTATATTTCTCATATTTATGATGGCATTTGAGTATCTAAAAGTAGCGGTATTTAGAGTTCTGAGTATTCATCGTGACTTCTATGCTGTGTCTGCTGAGCAAGAGAGCGGTCACTGTCTTCATTCAAGCCCTCACTACCACTTACCAGTATCGCTTTAGTGACCTCACATTCAAACTCTTTAAGTATGTTAGCTTTTAGTATTTGGTTTATATATATATATGAATATATATTATATATGTATATATATGATTAGTCTTTGTCATTCAAGACTTTGCTGCTTGACTGACTTTTTCTGTGCACAATTCTCATTCAGATACTCCCTTCTTCAAAAACCTTCAATGACTGCCGATCATCTATATATTCCACTGCTTGATCTTTAAATCATGGCCCAATCCCAGTGTACCTTACCAGTTTTGTTACCCGTGTCCTTTCTCATGTACTGTATTTGATAGTTCTCTGACTTCCTTAGCCTTATGTAAGTAATAAGGGCCCTTTTAGCCTGTAGGTCAACTCTGATCCCTTAAACTTGTCACTTACACTTTGATAGGTAAGATGAGAAATTCTGTGTATTACCTGAAGCCAAGATGCTTCAGATATACCTAACTAGTTATAATCTCTTTCTTGTTCCCTTCCAAATATGCCCAATCAGGGAGGGAGTCTTCTCTCATTTCATTCTTAAGCCTCCAGCCTATTAAATTAGGATATCTTTACAGACTCTTATCCCTCTTAGTTGAGCCTCTGAGTGCAACCTATTGAATTTTGGGTCTGAATATAAAGTTTCTTGTATGAGCACCTGAAATAATTGCCTGGAAATCTAAATTCCATTCTTAAGATTCTTGCCGGCCTCATTTCCTCATCATCATATCACATGAAATGCTCTCTGTTCTCCTGCATATGAATGCTACCCTGGAATTTACTTAAGTTTACCATACTCTAGATTTGGCAGCTAGACCACAGCTTGTTGAATGAAGTGCCACAGGCCAAATCTAATCCAATTGTTATTTTTTAAATAAAGTTGTATTGCAACACATTTATCTCCAATCATTTATTATTTGTGGCTGTATGAAAATAGCAGAGATGAGTAGTTGCAACAGACACTATATAGCTTTCAAAGCCTTAAACATTTACTATGTTATCCTTTACAGAAAATATTTGCTGAACCCTCATATAAAGCCAAATAGTTTCCCCAACCTATATACTGTTTATTTCTTGTCAACCCATAAATGCCCAGAAGGCTAGTTCATTGAGACTACGAGGTTCTAAACCAAATTACTTGTTTTTACTTGAACTTCCCTGCTTCCTCTTTCTAATTTTCTTAAAATGACCTTCCTGTGTTTTGCTTTTTTAGTAGAAGAGATGCTATAGTCATAACAATAGTCTCATGTCTCTCATGTCTGTCTTTTAATGTAACAACTAGATCTTTTTTTTTTTTTTTTGGTACCAGGGATCGAACTCGGGTCCTTGCGCTTGTGGGGCAAGCAGCAGAACCACTGAGCTAAATCCCCAGCCCTACATCTAGATCTCAATATACAAGCCTTTCAATATTACTAACATCTCTACTCATGGACATTAAATATCTCTAAGATTAGGTCTTTCCATTCTTCAGTGTCTTCAACTCAGGTCTTCTGAGCTTCACCACTTTAAAACATTTGTAATCGCCAGATCTTTCCCATATTATAACATCCACATCTTCCAGGCTCTGGCCTGCAGCATCCCCAAAGTCCATGTTTCCTAATCTTCTAGGTTTTCCAATGTCTCCATTAGTTTTCAAGGCCTAGGTTTTGTCTTTCAAGGTTCAGAGTTCCAACTTGCAAATCTTCTACAGTTACAATTCTTCAATATTTCTTATACACGGGTCTTGTAAAGTCTATGTATTTCATAGTATCCAAGTCTAGTTTGTAAAGTATCTTATAGCACCCATATAATTCATTTCCCCTATATTTTAATGTCTCCTGCATCCTGGTTTTACAGTGCCTTTTTAAAAATTATCAGTTAAAGTATTTCAATATCTCTAAATACTTGTCCTTCCAACATTCATGTGTTCAAATATCGCCAGTGTCTGAAATGCCTAAGTCTCTTAACATCCAGCTATTTTAATAGCTAGATCTCCTAATATCCATAGGTGCCAAATTCCTTGATTCCCAGCATCATTAAAACGTACTTACTCTAAATTCTGTTTTTTGACAGGAATATATCAATATTCAAGTTTTCTAGTTGGTACCTCCTAATATTTAGGGCTTCTGATTTTATGAATTGTAAATGTCGGGATCTTCTATTTTCCATACCCACCAGTTCTCAGGGGCCCCAAGGTACAGAACTTGCAATGCCTCTAGTATCCAGGGCTTCCAGTGTCTATGGCTTCATGTACTCAATATCCCAGTGTTCAGAGTATCCAAAGTCTGCAATGTTCAGAGTAACTAACCAATGTCTCCAAAATACAAGACTTGCAATGTCTCCAACATCCTGTGCTTCCAATGTTTCCAATGTCTAGGGTTTCCAGTGGCTTCAGTGTCAAGGTCTTCCAGCAACTCACAGTCTTCCAACAATCTCAAGGTCTTCCAGACAATCTCGGTCTTCCAGAAAATCCATGTCTTCCGGAAAATTAATGTCTTCCACAATCCTGCATGTCTTCCAGCAAATCTCGTCTTCCGCAAGCAAATCCAGATCTTCCAGGAAAATCCAGATCTTCCAGAAAAATCCATGTCTTCCAACAATTTCAACGTCTTCCTATGAGTCTGTGTCTTCCAGGAAAATCTGTGTCTTCCACCAAATCCAAGTCTTCCAATGAATTCAGGTCTTCCAGAAAAATCCAGGTCTTCCAGCAAACTATGTCTTCCACCAAATCAAGTCTTCCAGTCAACTCCTGTCTTCCAGACAAAATCTGTGTCTTCCACTAAATCCAGCTCTTCCAGTAAAGCCATGTCTTCCAGAAAATTCATGTCTTCCAGTAATCTCCAGTTCTTCCAGCCAATGTATGTCTTCCTGAAGATTCAAGTCTTCCAGAAAATCCACGTCTTCCAGAAAATTCATGTCTTCCATAAAACATCCAGTCTTCCAGCAAACCAATATCTTCCAAAAAATCCAGGTCTTCCAGACAATTCAGGTCTTCCAGAAAATCCACGTCTTCCAGAAAATCCACGTCTTCCAAAAAAGCTATGTCTTCCATCAAACCCATAGCTTCAAAAAAATCTATGTCTTCCAGAAAATCCAAGTCTTCCAACAAATTCATGTCTTCCATCAGTTTTATGTCTTTCAGCCTTCCTATGTCTTCCAACAAAGCTACGTCTTCCAGAAAATCCATGTCTTCCAACAAAGTCACGTCTTCCAACAAAGCCGTGTCCTCCGGAAAACCTGTCTTCCAGTGAAGCCATGTCTTCCATCAACTCCATGTCTTCCTACATCTCCAGGGCTTCCAGCATCTCCAGGGCTTCCAGCATCTGCTCGTCTTCCACCATCTCCACATCTTCCAGCATCTTCAGGTCTTCCTACAGCTACCCAGTCTTCCATCAGCAGGTTTAATATCCACGTCTTCCAACATCTCCGCTGCACCAGCCTTCTAATATCCAGGTCTTCCACTGTCTGCAATATCCAGGTATTCTAACTTATTCTATAGTCCAGGTCTTAAACCCTTTCCCCAGATCAAGGCTTTTCCAAATCTAGTCCTCCTCTGTCCAAGCTTTCCCATGTTCAAAACTTTCCACAGGGAGATTGCCAACTCAGGTATTCCTGCTTCTAGTATAATTAGCTTTAAAAATTCAATAGGATATTCCTACTTACAGGCCAGATTTTATGGGCAAGCTGTAATTTAACTGTGGTTTTGATATTAGAAAATGTGTGTTTATTCTTTGCAACTTTTTAAAATAGTGTTCATAGGAAGTTTTACAGAATAAACAGGTTACTGGAGTAAATTTTAAAACTTTTTAATGCTCATAGATTTTAGAATCAACTATGCTTAGGTGTAAGTGAAATTTTATTGTTATGAGAAAAATTCATATTTGGAGACTTATTTTAGATAAAATTAACATATAGTGTATCTGTCCACTTTTAAATAACATCATTTTTACTTGATTTTATGTGTAATAATAACAATAATAATAATAATAATAATAATAAATAGCAATTGCTGTGTCCGGGCACTGTTCTAAGGTCCTTACATACATGAACTCATTCTGTCTTTGTAGTCTCCCATTAAAGTAGGTATTGTCATTATCCCCATTTTGCAGATGAGGAAATTGACACACAGAGTTGAAGTAATGTGTCCAAAAGACATAACTAATAAGTAACAGAGTTGGAATTTGAACCCCACTAGCCTGTTTCCAGAGTCCATGATCTTAATCACTATGTTATGATACATGTTATTGAAAATCAAGATGAAAATTTTGAGATCTGAAGCTTGATTGGTCCCAAATTGTGTTTCAAATATAAAATCACATACACAAATGATCTTGTTTATCCTGTCACTACTGGAAACTATTCATATTCAAAGCTTTCATTCCTCGACCAGCTATTGCAATTCCTTTGCTCATGTATATGAAAGTAGACGCTATTGCTTCCTGATACCACATTTAGCTTGGACAAGAACACTGAGTTCATACACCCTTTGCTTTAGAATCATATTCACAGCTCTTTGCTTTGAGTACTGGTGCTTGGAATTTAACTTTTCCATCCATTCTAATCTTTTATCACTGACTATTCTCCAATTTGAAACTTATTGTCCAAACCATTTATCATTAGTTTGCTTTTGACCTCCAGGATCCAACTGCTTCTTCACGTATCAGTGACTTCCTTGGGTTACTCACCACTGCTTTGTGTTCACCTAATGGTAGCTACATCTCCTTAAATTCCAGCATGTTGATCTAGAGAACTAACTAATTGCTTGGTTCTTTAAGTCTCAGCTCTCACCAGGCACTTCCAGCAATGTACCCGTGCTTCTGCCTGGTATGAACAACATTAAATCCACACAATGAAGTTATCCTTAGGCAAGGAATCTCTAAAAGTCTGGAGTCATCTAAGAGGTAATAAAAAGGAACAAGAACAATAATAATTAGAATAACAATTCCTTCTGAATTGCAGCTTACAAAGTGCCATCACTTCATTTATCCATCCTTCCGTTCAACAAATATTTCTTGAGTGCCAACTGTGTGACAGGCATGTTTTAGAGGAGCTTAAAATCAGCTGGAGAGCATACATACCATATGCAAATAATTGAACAATTATTCATTAATTGTGGTAAGGACATTAAGGAAAAGTAAATAAAGAATCTATGAGAATTTAGAAAGTCAAGGAAAGCATTCTTGAGGAAGAATGGTGACTCTGAAGGATGTAGTTTCTCATTTGTTTATTAAAACAGGCTTGTGACTTAGATACTACAGATTTTTTTCTGTGAGTTTTACCGAATTAGAATAATGACAATGAGTATGAGATCCAGGTGTTTGGACTTTTTTTTCTAATTCTATCTAAATCAAAGAATATAAAAATGTTTATACTCTTTAACTTAGTATTTTCACTTCAAGGAACCTATCCAAGGAAACTATTTAAAATGTGGATAATTTATGCACAAAGATGTTCCTCACATACTTATTTGGTGTAGCAAATAATAGAAAAACCCAAGTCTAGCTTTAAGCAAATGATTAAGTAAATGTGCTATTCATGTATGATGTAATATTATTCCATTAAAATATTTATGGTATGCTCCTTATACAATGTTCAGTGAAAAATCCACATACAAGATGATATAAAATATGGTTTCAACTATTTTAAAATACATAACCAGGGACTAGAAGTAAACAGACTGGAGATTGTGAACCTATGACTGGCTGAGCAAGATTATGTGTGATTTTGTTTTCTTCTTTATATTCTTAGTATTTTTACCCAATGTTCTTACAATGTAAAGGTATTTTCTAGTCAGACAAAATCTATCAATACTTGTGCACCAATTAATCATTTATCTTTATATTGTACATGCAATCAATTTTTATTATTGAAATCCCTTCAAAATATAAACAGTGAAAAAAATTAAATTTTCAAATAATCTCAATGCCCAGAAATAATCATTGTAAAGACTTTGGCACTTGTTTAAGACTTTTGCATAGGTATGTTTATTTTCTTTTACAAAATGGAAGCCTTCTACCATTTGAGATATATATA